TCCGGGTACAAACATTTTATTTAATTTTCAAGAAACTTCATTTGCATGTCCACAACAATTCAAATAACGTGTCAATGAGCTAGTCTATATTCTAATGACGGGAACCAAATTTGGACAGGGGAACCACGGGAATAACTAAAATATGCAACTGGCGCAACGGAGATATATTTTTTGAAAAATAGGCACAAAGTATGCTATTCATGAAACTAATAAACATTTAAGTAATATTTAAGTAATTAAACAGATTAACTGAGTGAAAAAAGTAACAGACAAACATTTCAGGCATAGCATTACTTTGTGAATTATATTTTTCACATAAATATGCAACTTATTAAACAACGAGTACATACCAAGAAAAAAGTATTAGTGCTTCGGATATTCAACTGTTATACAGAACAATTAAGGCTGAACTTTACCTGTCACTGTTCATATCATTTTGTCGGCTTTTTGATGTGCAGCATCAGCATTTAACTTGTTTTATTTTTTAAGCACGATATTATTCAGAGAGCACATTTAATTGAACCTTTTTTTTTAATCAAAGATCTACCAAGTTCACTTTGCTTACTCTCAAATTTTTTCATATTTCATACAACTTAAGTTAATAAAAATGTGTTTGATTCTTATGTCATCGTCATTAAATTTAAACTACAAGTTCCTCTTAAACAGTTTGAGGGATGTTGGTGCTTACACATCTCCTTATTTGTTTTTTTCTTTGTTTCTTTTTCTTTTTTTCCCCAATTTTTACTAGAACTCTTTATTTCAATAAATGATAAAGATGTTGGTATGTCTTTCTCTTTTTTTCTTTATTTGCAGCTGTCTCTTCTCCTTTTGAAACAAACTTACTGAAAATTGTCTATAGAATGTCATTAATAAAAATATTTTGTCTTAATAATGATCATTTTTTTTTTGTTTTATTTGCTTTTTCTTTGCTTTTGTCATGTGACCATATAATTTTTGTATCTGTATCTAAAAGCCATAGAGTACTTATAAACTTATGGTATTATTTAAAAAGGCAAACTTCAGACGAAATGATTACTCTACAAATCTTCAATACTATTATGATGCTGTTTTAATTATATATATATTGTGATGTTCTTTCTTTATATTATATAAATATTTTGTCTAACAAATTCGATTAAAATCGAAGTTATAGTTTGTTATCCGTTTAAATTTAGTACTCACAGAAGTAATTTATAGATATAATTATATAATGGAGTTATGTCAATATATGTGATGAATTGCATTGTACGAGTGTATGCTTAATATTGTATTGATTTTTTTGCTTTATATGTGTTATTTCCTATATTGTAAAATATATATGTGACCTATAATTATATTTCAAAATGTTTGTTACATTGTATCACGATGTACCTATGTGTGTACAAGTTATGAAATAAACTCTGCTCTGTTCTGTTATATTCTGTATTGATTGTATATAACAAGATCGTAAATAATTGTTTCCGAAAAAAAACCTTTTCTCCTTCTGTAAATCACACTCGATTAAATTAAGTTAATTGAACCCTAAATAATTATACATGTATATGTATTTGTGTTAATATAAATCAGTATCCTTAGTAATATTTTTTATGATTATTTACATAAAATTTGTTTGTTTCAATGCAGGTATATACTATGCCAGAGTACCTTAAGAAACGGTTTGGTGGTCAACGCTTGCAAGTCTACATGTCACTGTTGTCTTTATTGTTGTACGTCTTCACTAAAATATCGGTAAATATCACCTGGCATATTGTATTTTGTCTTGCCCTACGCATTATTAAAGTGCCGTCTTTCCTACCATACTATAGCGTTTTCAAAACAGGTGTTTTTGTAAACTGCTCTATTCAAAACATTTTTATACTGTGCTCTATTCAGAAACATTTTGTTTTTCTACTCTGCTCTACTCTATTCAAAACATTTTTTTACTCTACTCTTCTGCCCTGTTCTGCTCTGCTCTTCTCTTCTACTTTGTCCTACATTTTATTTGTTTGTCTGATTTGCTGTTCCGCTTCACTTCACTCCATTTCAGTCATTTTCTCTCAACTACATTCATTTCCACTTCACTCTTCTCAACCATTCACCTGAACTCCACACTCCACACCACTCAACTCGAATCAGAACCACTGCACTCTGCTCTTTTCACTCTATTGCATTCATTTTTGCTTCGCTTTACTCAATTCACACCACTCCACTCTTCTCCACTTTATTCTCCTCTCCACTCCACTCATCTCCACTCCAGTCTACACCACATAACTTATTTCGACTATTTTTATCTCTACTTCACTCAACACAACTCATGTCGACTCCACTCAACTCCATTCAACTCCATACAACTCATTACGACTCTATTTATCTCTGCTCCACTCAACACAACTCATGTCGACTCCACTCATCTCCACTCCACTCAACTCCATACAACTCATTTCGACTCTATTTATCTCTTCTCCACTCAACAAACTCATGTCGATTCCACTCACCTCCACTCCACTCAACACCACACAACTCATCTCGACTCTATTTATCTATACTCTACTCAACAAACTCATGTCGATTCCACTCATCTCCACTCCACTCCACTCAACACCACACAACTCATCTCGACTCTATTTATCTATACTCCACTCAACACCACATCTCACCTTCATTCTACTCAGATCTCGCCACCACTTCACTCAACTAAACTCCATTCAACATCACTCCACCCAGGCCCACTCCTCTCATATTAATCTCAACTCCACCACCATGACTTCATTCTCCTCTTCTTTATATAACCTGCTTTAATGTCAACGCTGGTAACTCAACCCATACCTATCCTACAAAGCAATTTTTAGTATAGTTTGTACCGGAAATTTTGCCATGTTTCCTTTGAATGATTGACCTTTTAAACAATATCATATTTTCTTTCATGTGTTTTTTTAAGTCACAATCAAAACAGGTATTTTTAATTTTGTACTAGCACAAATATTTGCTAACGTTAGATTCACAAATGTGAGTATGAAAACTTATTCAAATCTGCATGCTTCTGGATGAGCCAAAATATTTCAAGAAAATCAAACATGAGAAAAAAGTACTAAGATTTGAAGTAAAGCAAACAGATTTAAGATTTAAGTAATAATTTACATGCTATGTGTGATTAAGGACTGATTTTGCAGTATTTATTACCATATTTCTACTAACGCAATACGGGCTATGTTTGCATATTTTGATTTCTTTTTTTTGGGTAAATTACGTGGATTTGAAGTGATGATTGCAATGTGTAGAATACTGTCTTTGTTCACTTCACAACAGTTCACTTTTAAATACATTTTTAAAATATTCATGAAAATTAAATCTGGAGGCATGCTGCTTTAACATGTATTTTTAATTTTTACAAATGATATTTTATTCCGTATGCACTCTTGATATGTTCGGAAAAATCCTGAATATCATTTGAATATACTTCACAGTGGTGCCAAATTCGAAAATAGAACATCCAGGCAGAACGATAGGAATCAAAAATTGAAACTCAAATTAGCTGCGTCATGACAAAACCAACATAGTGCGTTTGCGACCAGCATGGATCCAGACCAGCCTGCCCATCCGCGCAGCCTGATCAGGATCCATGCTGTTCGCTTACAAACCCTATAACAAGTAGAGAAACTGATAGCGAACAGCATGGATCCTGATCAGACTGCGCGGAAGCGCAGGCTGGTCTGGATCCATGCTGGTCGCAAACCGATTATGTTGGTTTTGTCATGACGTGGCTCAAATACAGAAAATTACAACAATTTCAGGTGGACATATATGCAGGGGCAATATTTATTCAACAAACAGTCGGATGGAACATGTACCTTGGTATTATAGTTATACTAGTGGTGACCGCCATCTTTACTATGTCTGGTATTTTATTTCTCTTATACATGCCTGCATGTCCGTAAATGTTTTGTTTTCATTGATTATAAATATATGAAAAACAATGCTTAAGATATAAAATCGACCAAAGCGGAGTTCGCTGTTAATTTACACCGTTCCGGCGTTTAACTGAACAGGATGCGCAGTAACTAAACACGAAGGTCGTGGATGTAAGTGGGTTTCTACCAAAGCATTCAAATGCCATGTGTTAATTAGGCTTTGAACTCTGGTTGAACTTATATTGTTACGAAATGAACCTGAAAAATAAAGAAGGCAACTGTAGTTGTTTTGTTTTTGTTGTTGTTGTTGTTTCTGTTGTTGTTTGCAAGCGTGAATTTTATCCACTGCTAGCGTTCATGTTAATCATGAACATTAAACATCGGTTTCGTTTCAAATATAACATATTTGAGAATATTTCCGGTACTTTTTCCTGACTTTGAGCAAGCAAATGTAATCTAAATCAATAAAAAAATCGGAACAATTTGCCAAATACCAATAACCAAATCACCCGAACTTGAAAATAACTGCTTAAACGAACACGGCCATGTTTGTGCGGCAACGCTGTGACCGGGGGGTTATCGGGTTTGCCAAACTCATGACGTTTCCCAATCTCATCGCAGTGATCTCCCCTTCATTCTTCGGAATGGAATTACTGTACTGTTAAAGGGACATAACCACTGCGAGGAGTTCTGAATTTGCCATGTTTACACAACAATTTTATGACACGTCTATTGTTTGATTCCTCGGTTACCTCTCGTGACGTATACACTTAAACAGTACCCGGGGGGGGGGGGGGTGAATTAGTGAAGTTAGGTACTCCCTTGTTAAGTCTTTCGAATATCTAGGGTTATATATTGTTGTATTTGTTGTTGTCTTCGTCGTCGTCATCGTTGTTGCTGCTCTAGTCGTAGTTGTAGTTATTATTACTTAATGTTGTTGTTGTTGTTGTTGTTGCTGCTGCTGCTGCTGTTGTTGCTGTCGCTGTATGAATCTATTTAAGAAATGCTTGTCTGTATTTAATCAATGATTAATTAACAATATTGCTCTAGTCTTTTGCATAGGGGTCTTTTTTTTGCTGACTTCAATGATAACTATTAAAAGGTTCATAAAATAGTGTTATGCAAACAAGTAATCATTGTGTAAGAAGGAAAATGATAACATGCAATGAGATGATAAAGTTATGTACGGTCCCCTTCTGGTGCCTCCACGGTAGTCTGTTGTCGGTGGGTGCTCTCCCTTGTTACTTTTTATACTTCAAGGAACTCAAATGAGGCCAAAAAGCCAAAAAAAATATATATATATATGAAATTTGAATTTCTTGCATAAATTAGCGGGGAAACTAAAAACATAACGATATGCAAATTTAAAGATATTCTAAAATAAACTGAAAATCGTATTTTTGTGCTACTTTAGCGGAATAATCATTCCGAGCGATTTATGATATTTAGTTTTGCACACAAGTTATTGCTCAAGATCTTCATCAAAAGGAACAACAATATCGAAAAATTCTTTCCAGTCTCGTCATGTCTAAAAAAAACCGCAGTGCAATCCCTGCTCTTAGCGCATGCTAGAAAATTGTAAATTAAGGTGAACTTTAATTTCCTTTCCAGGCGGTCTCCGAGCGGTAATATATACGGATGTTTTGCAAACTGTGATAATGATAGGTGGGTCGATGGTGCTCATGGTAATAAGTAAGTGAATAATTATGTTAATTATGTTAATTTTTGTGTCGCCTCTACAGAGTAGTGGCGACATATAGGGATCACTTCTCCGTCGTCTGTCTGTCTGTCTATCTGTCCGTCCGTCCGTCACAAAACTTGTCCGGACTACTCCTCATAAACTACTGGTGCAATTTCATCCAAACTTTACAGGAATGATCAGTGCCAAGTCTAGTTGTGCATATTGTCAGCATTTTCCGGTTCAATGATTTTTGTCAGAGTTATGGCCCTTTAATAATTTTTAATTTTAAAGTTTGTCCGGACTACTTCTCTTATACCACTAATGCAATTTCAATGAAACTTTACAGGATTGATCTGTAGCTCAAGTCCTTGCGCATATTGCACGGGTTTTCCGGTTGAATGATTTTTGGCCGAGTTATGGCCCTTTGATAAAAAGGTGTTTTTTTCTGTGTTGCCAGATACGCAAAAGCTTGTCCGGACTACTCCTCATAAACTACTGGTACAATTTTATCCAAACTTCACAGGAATGATCAGTACCAAGTCTAGTTGTGCACTGTCCGTCTGTCTGTCCGTCTGTCACAAAATTTGTCCCAACATGAAATTGGCCATCATGAGGCGACACATGTGATTACTGATCGCTCTTGTGATATTTTGGCCCCACTCAAAATATTGTTGTCGTACCGTATAGGTCATACAGTTTATTCTACTAAGGGGAAATCTCCTGCTAAGTTTCCGGAAAAGGAATGTCTTGTTTTGCATGAAGAATTCTTTGTTAATAAGCATCAGGTTAATTAGAGGGGGGGGGGGGTGACAGGGGATGGGGGGGGGGGTAGTGGGAACAATGATAAAATTTTGATGGATGAGAAAATCGTCGAAATCAGTTTAACTTGCCTCTTTGTGCGAATAATAAATAATATTTAACACAGAGTGAAAAAAAATGTCCTATACAATCTAACTAAGATAAATTTTGTTTAAACTAAAAACAAACCGCAAACAAACAAAAAAGCCCTCGTTAGCATCGTTTCTTATAGAAATATTAGTTACAAAAAAATTGACCAATGTAGAACTGGACTTTTATAAACAGAATATAGTTTTTAGGGAAAACTTATGTAATATATTGATAACAAAATCGTAAAAATCCTATTTACTATCCTTTACATATGTAGATAAAAATAATAAAAAACCTAAATTAACAAAAGCCCCCATACTCATCCGTTTCTTATATCGTAAATGACAATTATCAGGTAAATAAATTGGTGAAAAAAATCAATATTTAGAATGCCAGTGTAGGTCACACAATAAACAGGTTCTACATGATCTTTATACGTGAAACATTCAAATCAACATGCCATGTCATCACCATTATCATTATGATTATGCTATGACATTATTATTTGGAATTTAAAGGTCAACAAAGTCCAAAAATTATTTCAAATATTTTTATGATGTATTATTACAGTTTCCAAAAAAATTTACTCATTTGCGCCATATATCTTAACCATCTTTTGCGTTTTTCATTTAGTACCTACATTGTAATAATGATTTAGTATTTTGTATGGATGTCTTTTTTGTTTAAATTTTGCTACCGTTATCAGAAAATAGTTCACATATGCTGCTATTAACATCTAAAATGGTCTAAAGCTATAATTTCAACACTTTAAAACGCATGTTTGCTTCTTTAAAATTCAATTCTGATGCTTAACGCGCTTTTAAAGATGATTACGGCTTTTCAAATATTGCTATTTTTCTGTTTTCCCAAATCCATCTATGAGTATTTTACAACAAAACAAATCTAAAAGCTTTCAAACTATTAAGCTTAGACTTATATTTTTTTTGTCACTGGCCAAGTTTGTTTAAAGATCCTGTAACACAATTTTTTCATAAATATGATGCTCAAATTAAGATTTATCAATTTTGTAAGTTCCAAAAAGCATTATTTATAAAGATATTATCATGCAAATAAAGGGAGGTAATAAAAAAATTATTTTCTATAAAGTCTAATGAATGCATATATCTTTTAATGATTACAAATGATATGTACAAATATTTGCAGTACATATTTTACATATTCTTCTATATTTGAAAATTGTTTTATAAGCATATAATTATATACATATATATATAATTTCACTTAAGTGTGGTATGCAGTAATAAACTTGCAAAAATGCGATTACAAAGCTAACCTTTGGGGCGTACTATTTATATATAAACTTAGTTCATACATGTTATATATCAGCTTGAGTATCTAATTGTTTTGTAATTGTCGACAGATTTTGTTAGAACTAATTAATATGACTTCATGCTTTTCTCTTTGTATTTGTACCGCCATTTTGGATTCTATATAATTATGTTATATTGTCGATTAATGTTTATCTATTTTTGCCGAATAAAATATTGTATTGAATTGAATTATTAACGGCAGGTATTGTTAAGATAGGGGGTTTGGACAAACTGTACGACGAATACCCTAAAGCTATTCCAAGCGTTCTTATGAATAAGTCCGAGTGCGGGACACCTACGGATGAAGCGTTCCACCTCCTCCGAGATCCAGTCACGGGTGATCTCCCTTGGCCAGGAAATGTGCTCGGTATTACAATTCTGGGAATGTGGTACTTCTGTTCAGACCAGGTGATTTCTCTCTAATGACTCCTTTTCTTACACCTTTATCCATCTTTATTAAATATATAACTAAAGATTTGTATACTATATTTTACGCCATGAATTTTAATTCTTTTTTTTTTTCACATGTAATTGTTGACAATTGCGCGCGAAACAAACTGTCCAGAATTTTTCAGATTTTTGCCTTCTTCTTTTGCATGTACATTGTATATTATTATCTTGTTATTGTATTGTGAGGAACCATGTATTAAAAACGAAGCTTTCGGATTGTCAGTGGGTCAAGGTCACTAATAAAAAGTATAATATTTAGAAATAACATTATTTATAACAGAAAAAACACTTGACATACTGAAGAAAGAAGAAAAAACAATACTGTTTCTAATCACTGAATCTTTATCTAGTATCTATTTGTCATTAAGGTGCTGGTTCAAAGGTCATTGGCGGCTAAGAACATGTTGCACGTGAAAGGCGGCTCGATTTTCGCTGGTTATTTGAAATTGACACCATTATTTACGGTTGTTTTTCCTGGGATGATTAGTAGAGTATTGTTTACAGGTAAATATTAGCAGCAGAATAACTTAACAATAATTATAATTCATCGATAGCTCTAGATTGTTGTACCTTTTTAATGTTTGGATTTGTTTTCTTTCTTTTCTTAGACCATTTTCTATCATTCTAAATAGTTTTCAGAGCAAAATTCAATTAAATGTTCATTTTTATTAATCAGATTTTTCAAACAAAATGGCGCCGTCAGTGTGTCGGTTTACAAATACGGAGGGAGGAAATAAGAACGGCCAGTGTATCTGCTGTGAAATATATCACGCTTCCGGCCTTATTTGTTTATAAAAGAGAAATATCCGATAGTGTTAGAATGTTTTTACTTCGATTATTCTTGAGGTTTTAACAAAACACTGATATATGATTTAATGATTGTTATATCTATTTTTTTAACGGAATGGCCAACGTTATTAAATAAATGTACGGCTAATGACGTCATACAGATATCACCCTTTGGTTTTATGTGCTTACGTTATTATTTTATCTGTTTTGTTTTTACCTTTTCATATGTGACATCTCTTACAATTTTTGTTTAGAAAAGATATTAGCCTAAAAATGTAAAAAAAAAAGAAAATATTGTTTTAATGTTGTACTGGTCATGTCTTTCCTAGTTTCGCCATGATATAGCTCAAATTCAACATGTTTGTTATATAGAAATCTATATTAAATATGTTATTTTCAAAGTACATTGTATCAATCGCATCTTAAAAAAATTCTCGGCCATTTTCGTCAAACTTCGGATAGGAACCACGGAATACACAGAACGGAGACGATATTTCGGTCTAACCTACGCCGAGGTTATTATTGATGATAGCCGAGGTGTTCCAATTGTAAAAGTATGACATTTTCCCAGTAATTTCACTTTCAAACTGAGAAAGATTAAGGTAACGGTCGCAAATTTTGTACTAATGACGTAATTTATGTATGCAGACGAGATCGCATGTGTAGATCCTGACGTGTGTAGTGTTGTGTGTGGAAATCCAGCGGGTTGTACGAATATTGCATATCCGAAACTTGTTGTAGAACTAATGCCAATAGGTAATATACAAGTAATTTCTAAAATCATCAACTTGAGTACATCATATAATGTAATGTAATGCTAAAAATTATAGAACGATGTGCAAACTGAGGGGCAAATAAACCATTTGTCGGTTTGAAATGCAGCTGTATAATTATGTGTTATTGAAAGTGGTTTAAATCTTACAGAAACGTCATGAAATTTTCTAATTTGTAACTTATGGAAATTTTGTTGTTAAACTTTGACAGGGTCTCTTTTTTTAATCGTAACACAGCATATACATGAATTACCTAAAATGCTTGAGGGAAAATCGATGAAGCTAGAGCTCATGCATCCAGGCTAGTTTGAAATGAATTGGCGTGACAATGACGTCATGTTGTCAAATGACGTCGTAATTTAATGTTCGATTTAATTTGATGACTATCGCAAGTTCGTGCTTCGATTCTCAAGGGATTTTCAGACGTTGATTGCTTTTCCCATGTTTTTGTCTTTAATAGTTATTTAGAGATAAAAGGGACGTAATTCAAGTAAAATGTAAGCTACCATTTTCAGTCAAATATTATAAGATCTATTAGTTGGGCATTGAGCCACACCGACGCTCATTCGTGGACGCAAGTGTCCCCTTCATCACGAGCGGGTACCTAAGTAAAATACCTGGTCTTCCATAAATTGTATAGCTCTGTCACGTGAACAAATTCAACATTCGTTCCAGTCGAGATTCGAACCAAAAGGGAAGTAAATGCACGATATTTGAAACCAGTTGGCTTCGTAGACTTGAAGTTTTAAAGTAAGCTGCCATTTATTCTAACTATAAAATAACACTTAGGATTTATAATAAATTATTGGGATTATTTATTCAAGGATTAAAAGGTTTGATGCTAGCAGCCATGATGGCCGCGTTGATGAGTTCTCTGACGTCAGTATTCAACAGTGCCAGCACAATATTTACAATGGATATTTGGCACAGAATGCGTAGAAAGGCCACTGACAGAGAACTTCTTGTTGTTGGAAGGTAAAGATATATTGCTTTACCAAATAATGTTTACATACCCGATTACACAGCGTTGTTGTGGTATTCTAGCCAACTTTTACCATTTTTGTTGTTGTTGTTGTTGTTGTTGTTGTCACTCCGGGTCATATGAAAGCTTGACTTACTTGGTGAGATGCGGAAATGGTCGAAACATGCCGAAAATTGCCGAACATATATAATATATGATTGTTTTGCCTAATGGATATGGTAATTACTTATTAAAATGTCTTTATATTGTTTTTTTTAACAAACTTAAAGCAATATAAACTTAACGTTCTTACTTTTAGAAGCACATCACTATTCTATTCATTGTTTACATATTTTAACTTTCATGCACGCTTGATGAACGCAAATAGATATTAGTGAAAGCATATTTAGATAAAATGGGAAAGTACAGTACTTTAATTATCCTAATATGCAAATATATTAAATTCTACGTCATCGTCAGTTTGTTATTTCTAGTTATTATTTGTGTACCTAAACAAAATTTCGTGCAGCCACAAACAAAAACATAAGCGGATATTATAAAGTGATGAGCATGTAAAACAAAACGTGAGAAGCGGAACACGAGCACCAAAACTAAACGTGAATCAAACAAAAACCTCAGCCGAAATAGCACGTGAAAACTAAAGTGATCACGAGGCAAACAAAATTCTCAGCTGAAATAGCACGTGAAAACTAAAGTGACCATGAGGCAAAAAAATGTTCAGCTGAATTAGCACTTGAGAAGAATTAAAACAAAACGTTAGCAAAAATACTCAATCGAGCAAGCACGTGTGCTCTAAAACAAAACGTAATTCAAACAAAAACCTCAGTCAAACAAGCACGTGAGAGCACGTGAAACCAACTTTAGTATTAGTCATCGTCGAATAATTTATTTTTTAGATCGAAAAATAATTTAAACAAGAGCGATCAGTAATCACATGTGTCGCCTCATGATGGCCAATTTCATGTTGGGACAAATTTTGTGACAGACGGAAAGACAGACGGACAGTGCACAACTAGACTTGGTACTGATCATTCCTGTAAAGATTGGATAAAATTGCACAAGTAGTTTATGAGGAATAGTCCGCACAAGCTTTTGCGTATCTGGCTACACACAGAAAAAACACCTTTTTATCAAAGGGCCATAACTCGTCCAAAAATCATTCAACCGGAAAACCGTGCAATATGCGCAAGGACTTGAGCTACAGATCAATCCTGTAAAGTTTCATTGAAATTGCATTAGTGGCATAAGAGAAGTAGTCCGGACAAACTTTAAAAATAAAAATTATTAAATGGCTATAACTCTGACAAAAATCATTGAACCGGAAAATGCTGACAACATGCACAACTAGACTTGGTACTGATCATTCCTGTAAAGTTTGAATGAAATTGCACCAGTAGTTTATGAGGAGTAGTCCGGACAAGTTTTGTGACGGACGGACGGACATACAGACGGACAGACAGACGACGGAGAAGTGATCCCTATATGTCGCCACTACTCCGCAGAGGCGACTCAAAAAATAAATAGTCTTTTAAGAGAAAGTATATCCTACGTCCCAAAAATAAGCAAAATGTATTTTTCGCAAAAAAAAATTATACATATTTCAACTTAAAGCACTAAGGAACGTCCAGGTCATTTTTCTCATTACATTTTACATAGTAAACTATTACAGGACATGTTTTTTTTTTTGAAAAAAAAAAAATTTTTATTTTTATTTTCTCTAGGTTGTTTGTTTTGATTCTTGCTATTGTAAGTGTGATATGGATACCCGTTTTGCAACTTTCCCAAGGGGGACTACTCTTTAATTACATACAGTCCGTAACTGGTTATCTTGCGCCTCCTGTACTGTCAGTGTACGTTCTTGCAATACTGTGGAAAAGGACTAATGAAAAGGTAAGACAATAAACATTCGGCACATCTTTGCCAATTACGTAGACCTAAATTACCTGACAATAGGTTGATGGTCATCTGCCCGTTATTTCAGTTAACGTCACTTCCGGTTAAATGGTTTTGCCGTATCGTGGAAAAAATAACTATCCCAATTTTGCAGTACTGTTACTTTTTTAAGAGGAGCAGCATCAAATTTCACTTTAGCATTCGGAAAAGTGTCAAAGAAACTTTTAAGCAGAATTGGTCGAGATGTGGCGAATGGTTGCAGCCATGTTTTAGTTGTTGCTGTTTGTTTGTTTCTGTTGCAAAGTAAATAAAACATTCACATGCATATGCTTAACATTTTGGTAATTATTTTCTTTTTTCAATTTATTGCAAAAACATTGGTTATTTACATTTTTGTCCATTCGACGAATAATATTATCTTATTTTCGTAAACAAATAATGGACTGTTCACCTTACTTAAACAAAAAACGAAATAATCACTTAGTTTTTAGTTTGTTGTAGCTGCTGCTGTTGTTGTTGTTTTGCAAGAAAAGGAAGGCGTTTAGAACAAATCTCCAAAATTATCGATATTGAATGTTAAGATTTTCATAGGGGCCATTGTGAGTCACCGATTAATTTGAAAACTGGTCGACGGAGTAACCAAAAAATATGAATATCTGTATGAAACAATTTAATTTTTGGAGTAAAAAATGTAAGTACCTAGATACGACTTTATAATTTATTGAAAATTTCTCCATTTTCTTTTATCTTTGAATAAAGGGTGCATTCTGGGGTCTTGTTGTTGGTTTTATAGTGGGTGTTATTCGGATGGGACTTGATTTCGGATATGGAAGTCCCGGATGTGGCGAAGAGGATTACAGACCAACCGTAGTTTCAAAAATACATTTTCTACACTTCACAATTATTCTGTTTCTAACAAGTATACTAGCAACTGTCATATTCACGCTTTGTTCATCTCCAATGAAGGACAAAGATGTAAGTATATTTATAAACACTAACTGGTTTTCATTTGCATTTGAAGCGGTCTATTGTTATTATGAGGAATTTTTATATAAAATGTTACCTTAAAGGCACATTATGCCTAAATTAATAAATTGTTCTTCAACAGTCCTACAGTAATGTAAGGTGACGCAAGTGGAGTCTCCCGCCAGGGTATGTACCTATAATGTATGTCTTTCTTAATCAAAATAACAATGTTTCTTTATAATGTTTACATATATAGTTAACTCGGTTGACTTGGTGGACTCGTCATCAACTCAAAGACCTCGAACCTGTTGATAAAGAACTTACAGAATTAACTACAGAGAATGAGGTTCCAGATACGACTGAGGAAAGAAATCCAAATGTCGAGTCACCTGACCGAATTTCGGAACACGTGACAGATGGTATGTATATCTGCCATCTTACTGTAATTTTATTACATCATGGAGTTGTATGACCATTTATAATTTGCCATTTTGTAGTATTTTGTTTTTACATATTATTTGCCATTTTGTATTATTTTGTATGTATGTACTGTTTTATGTTGTCACATGCCCATATTGGCCCTGACGTATTCAAATAAACCTTGAAACCTTTGCAGTGATCTCCCCTTACGTAGCGTCATTTACCATTGTATTTTGGGATTGAGCTTATTATTATACTTAATCGGTTTTTGTACATTCTTCGTTGCTTGCTCCAACTTTTTAAACCTTGAAACCTGCAGTGATCTCCCCTTACGTAGCGTCATTTACCATTGTATTTTGAGATTGAGCTTATTATTATACTTAATCGGTTTTTGTTCATTCTTCGTTGCTTGCTCCAACTCGAGCAAACCAATCCTTACTAATTTGTGAAATATCGGCATCTTCCGTTACTTTCCGTAGTAATAGTAGTCAAATAAGCGTTGATATAACTTAATTAGAGCAATTACACATCTATATGCTTTTTCTCAGAATAATTCCGAATTTGATTTGAATGATACGCCATATTTCAAAATCTTGATTAAAGATTAGGGGCAGTTGAAGTGACAATATGACCCTCCAAATGTGTATTATAGTTAGTGAACAGGTGAAAGTCAAAATAAGTTTACAGTATTTAATGTTTTTAAAGATAAACCATTCGTGACCAAAGGAAATTTCTGTATATATCCATCGGAATTTACCTGTAATATTCAACTTATAAAAAGAGTTGGGCAGTTTTTTTTTTATATTTGAAGCAGATTTATATTTTATCCTAAAAATTTCCAATATCATCTGATGGTCAATCGCCATTTTAAACGTCAGTCTTGAAAAAATGTATATCAATTTCAGCTCAACTTGACAATAAGCATAATGTTACTCTTACTAATTTGCAAATATGGCATGGAACTTTCATGGTCGATTTTTTAAAACTTAATGAACAAGTGCTACTTCATAGAAAATCATCATTTTTAAAAATAGCGCTAAAACCTGTGTAATCGCTTGCACATAAGAAAATATAATTATGTCTTTTTGTTCATTTAATTTCTTGCAGCGGAAATCGCTTTCGTGAAAGCGTTTTGATCACCTCTCTTTTTGTTTCACGCTCATTACTTATTTCAACACCATCTATAATTTCAGAGCCTGTTTCTGCGTGGCAGCGCTTTACTACTGTTATTTTGGGACCAGGACCAGAATCAAAAATTAACACAGACGCTGGCGCAGCCGACAAAATGCACCACCTGACGTCCAAAGAAGAGGACCCGAAATGGAGCAGTTTCGTGAACTTCAACGCCATTCTCCTTATGTTAATTGCAATGTTTTTATGGGGATATTATCGTTGAATGTAACGATCTGAAATTTAATACAAATGTAAATGTCTAAAGGAAGTGGTCTTTTGCAGACGATATTCTTACAACATAAAGCTTACCAGTTATCCATTTACTGGATGATTAATTTTGATTTGAATTAATTTAGGTTTATGTATTTGAGAAAACGGAAGGCATAGATTTTTTCACTTCTTGTCAAAAACTATATTATTGATAATTAATTAGATAATAAACTATTCATTACTCAGGCGCTTTTTGAAACCCATGTTGATTACTTTTGTATTTGACATAAAGAATGCTAATTAAATAAATGTTTATATCTCAAGATTTTCACGGTATATCCATATGTTTACTGATTTATTATAAATATATGTTGGAAAATGGCCTCTAATAATTAATAACGCTTAAAACAAATTTTAATAGGTCAATCTATAGTGAGCAAGTCTACAATAAAAATAGCATGAGTTAAAAGAGGAATTTTATGACATGATGCGCACCGGTGTCTGCCCTTGAATCAGAATTTTCTACTTATTTGAGGTCATTTTAAGGACAGATAACTTATGCATACGTAAATGAATTCTTGTTTTTCCTTCTGGATAATGTTTTTCTTCTTTTTTTGTTGAATACAATACATAATTACATGCAATTCCTTATATCGTTTCTGTTAATTTTTTTCAATGAAAATAAAGGTACTTTAAATTCATAAAAAATAGGCCAATTTTTAAGAAAAAATGCACAGGTTAAGAGAAGAAGTGGGAAAAAAACTATCCACTCTAAATTTGTTCTTGAAATTTTGCATATTGACTAAGACGAAGGTAAGCTTCATGAAAATAAGAAGAAAAAAATGTATTGTTTCGCTTCATTGTAAATTATCTGCCCTTGAATTTAACGAAAAAGTCCAATTCAAGGGCAGATAACTCGAAAATGAGAACGGTGACCCCAAATTTTTTTCCGTTTAAAATGTTTCTGTTATCATATTCTAATAACATGCCAAGTTTAAAGAAATTCTATTGAACAGTTTTAATTTTGCCTATATGTCTATATGAAAACTCCGGAAAACGTCTTTAATAACATTAAATCATCTATTTAATTAAGAATTACTGTTTGACATAATGTGCATTAGAGATTCAAATTGGGTATTTTAATGACATGATGCGCATGTGAGGCTCATGTGGTGTCCTTAATGACAGGAATTACGAGGGTTTGTTTAATGACATGAAGACAAGAGGTATCTTGACACGTGAAGCGTTTTAATGACCTAAGGTGAACGTATTTTTATGACATAGAATGCACGATGTATCTTGACAATATGAAACACACGAGTTATTTAAAACATTATATTTGTATGACATGAAATGTACGAGGTATCTCTCTATGACATAAAACTATTTCTAATGACATGAGATGCACGACGTATCTAAATTACCATATCTAATAACATTTTTATTTCAAACAACATTTTCATTCACTTTTACACGTAAAGTATACGATACGTGTTTTATTATTGCCCTATTTTAGTTTCTCGAGCAAAACATGGACTCTTGGTCTAAATAAAATCATGTGCCTATTATATGGCACTAGATATGGATACACTTTAAATGAACTCCACTAAATATTTTTTAAAAAAAAACAAGAAACATTTTTTTGTGTAACTTGATGTAGGCCTGATCCAGTAACTCGTGTACAAAATTTCAGATCATATGCTCACTCCGTTTCTAGGCCAAAAAATCGCAGAAAGGTCATATATGAATTTAATACCAAGTAAATTCATATATCATCTGTTGAATAGTTTTCAGTTTTAAGTGTACCAGTTGATTTATGAAAGAAATTTTAATTTTAGGCAATTGGACCTCATTGAAGTTCTTTTAAAAAAGCAGCCGACATGATGCCTTAAACGTATTCAACAGAACAATGTTAAATTTTCAGTCCATAAATAACGCAAATCATTTGAAGTCTTAAAAACACTAGGTATAGTGCGAAAAGCATTACACTCTTACCTTATTGATTACATAAAGGTTGTGGGGTCATAACGGACCCGGCAGATTTTACGTATCTAGCCACGCTAAAAACGCTACGAATAGTATTTATTCATCACACTTTTTATAGTAAGAGAATTAATAGTAAAGCCTCACATCTCTGAATGCGTATAATATATTTTCAAAAATAATTAAAAGAATGAATAAATAAATAAAAATGAAACACTGTTAGTTTTAAGATGCCTATACCATGCGACATTATAAGATCGACAAGGTCAGAAAACCAGTATAAAAGAAGGTCTAGGTAACTTTTTTCATGATATTATTTTTGATGGGAAAGCGTGTAGTGATTATAATGTTTTTGGTAAAGAATCTGTATTGTTTCATAAAGTGAAACCGCGTGTTTTGATCAATTAGAAATTCACCCTGTTGTACTTTACGATTAAAAAAAAACTATGTACAAGGGTCCCATTTGCCAATTATGGAACTGAGAGTACGAACCAACCACCTCACCCCAAAATAAAAATTTTAAAAGTCTATGTATGGGTTACTCTTTTGAATGAGCAAGATCTACACTTTATTCCATAAAAATAATAGACTATTTTTTAAAAAAAGTAAAAAAAAATACATGTTATTGGAAAAAAAATAATCTAGGAGCGACTGCATTATTGGTTTTCTACCCCACACGTATACAAAACAGCACCTTTATTTAAAAAATGTATGAATATCGAATGTATAAAGCAAAATATGACCGAATTTAGTACAAAATATACTTTAATCACTACATTATTACTAACGGAGTAAGACCTTTTCTCTCCATCAATTATCATGTTACTAACCAAGTAGGATATATTTCTCCATTAATAATTATGTTACGAACAGAGTGGGATATATTTCTCCATCAATTATCACGTAACTAACCGAGCAGGATATATTTCTCCATCAATTATCACGTTACTAACCGAGCAGGATATATTTCTCCACAAATTATCATGTTACTAACAGAGTATGATATATTTCTCCATAAATTATCATGTTACTAACCGAGTAGGATATATTTCTCCATCAATTATCATGTTACTAACCGAGCAGGATATATTTCTCCATAAATTATCATGTTTCTAACCGAGCAGGATATATTTCTCCATAAATTATCATGTTTCTTACCGAGTAGGATATATTTCTCCATAAATTATCATGTTACTAACGTAGCAGGATACATTTCTCCATAAATTATCATGTTGCTAACCGAGTAGGATTACATTTCTCGATAAATTATCATGTTTCTAACCGAGCGGGATATATTTCTCCATAAATTATCATGTTACTAACCGAGTAGGATATATTTCTCCATAAATTTTCATGTTACTAACCGAGTAGTATATATTTCTCCATCAATTATCATGTTACTAACCGAGTAGGATATATTTCTCCATAAATTATCATGTTACTAACCGAGTAGGATATATTTCTCCATAAATTATCATGTTACTAACCGAGTAGGATATATTTCTCCATAAATTATCATGTTACTAACCGAGTAGGATATATTTCTCCATAAATTATCATGATACTAACCGAGTATGATTATATTTCTCCATAAATTATCATGTAACTAACGAAGTAGGATATATTTCTCCGTAAATTATCATGTTACTAACTGAGAAGGATATTTTCCATCAATAATCATGCTACTTGTAATTTCTATGGGTATTAAGTGTGTAAGACTAATAAGTGATTTGGTACACTTGGCAACAATTTGCCCAATATACCAGTTTTTTTAGTTTTCGTTAAAAGAGTTAACACACATATGGAGGCGCTTTTAGCTCTATAGGCCCTTTAAAACTTGAAAATTTTGAAAATGTATTTAAAAGTAAAATATCGTGAAGTGACCAAAGAAAGTATTTTACTCACTGCAGACGGCATTTACTTTCCTCGTACATTACTATAAGGAATTCAAAATTAAAATATGCAAAAAATAGCCGTTACTACGCTAGTCACGCAGTAGAAATATGGTGAGAACTATTGTAAATTCAGTCATTCATTGCACATAACATAAAAAATATTACTTGAATATTTTCACATTTCATAAAATCAACGTACTTAACCAACAAGGTTGATTTAAGTCATATCTGGAGGCATGCAGCTTTAAAAAAATATCTCCTTTTTAAATACATTATCACAACAAAATAAACCCACGTTTGTCTTTTCTACTCGAGAGCCTTTATGTGCCTTTACGACTATTATAGTATTAGTAGAACAAAACAAAATTATACATGTTATTCCAACTTTAATTGAACAATCATATATCATTTATTTGTAATTAAGCAAACACATGTAGAATTATTATTTAACAGCGTCAAATAATTATTCATTTTATCACACATTTTTCATAAACAAGGGATTTTTTTTTCAAATTAGCATTTTTTTTCTCAGCACAAGCTTTTTATAGCAGACGACATCGATATAAGCTAATACGGACGGTTGAATAAACTATAAAAACGTAAATCTCGACTTTACAATATCGTAAACAAGTTATTTCAGATTTATACACCTGTACTATAGACATGTAGTATGTACTCCAATAAAGTGGCCTAATCTTCAGAACATTCACGTTAAGTTGAACATAGATGAAGACGAGTTTCTATAAATGAAATATATACGTTGTGCTAATAAAATAGTTTCAATCCTTAATTTACAAGCGGTTAGAGACCACGCGAGACCACGCGCTTATGTAATAAGAGATAAGGTACGTAAACTCACATACACCTACAGTCAGAACTGTTCACCTGTAGTAAAAGAAGTTCTCGCTGTGGTTCACACAATCTTTATAACTGGTTTCATGCGCGTTTGCAGGCTCGTGGAATTCTGTCTTCTGGAGGAATCAAATTTATTAAAAATCGGTATTTCTTTTTGTTTCTCTGGAGAACAGAGGTTAAAACATTCTTTAATATTTTGTTTATGTTACAAACAAAATTAATATGGCGCACGGGAATGTAAAAAAACCTCCGAGCAAACCTCAAGCAAGTGCGACGCCAAATGCTAAAAAGCAGACGACAAAATCGCAATCTACGACAGGGCAACAACATAAGCATGCCGTCCCACCGAAAAATGTGCCGAAATCTCCAGCGCGTGAAAAACAGATCATATGGGAAGATGACAACGATGTGGACTTTGAGGACATAACATTCGTGGTGCCAATAGTAATTTCGGTGATAATTTTATTCGTATTTTTCCTAAGGAAGTATATTCGATGGAACGTTGAGTGTCAAAGCAACAACCGAATAGAGGGCAAAACAGTGCTGATTACAGGTAATACATCTATATATTTGAATTAGAATAAAATATTGTTCTCAAAATGTTAGGAAGGTTAGGGTTCTTTAATTTTTTTATGCTCGACTTTTCGGAGAATATTGAGAGCTTTTGTACTTACCCAGTCATCAGCGTCGCCGTTACACTTTCTGCAAGTTGATATTTCGAAAAATACTGGAGGGAATTGGTTGAAACTTCACACACTTGTTCTCTGCGATTATCTAACATGGCGGACACAGGTCCCATAACTCTTTGGTATCTATTTACAGAGTTACGCGCCTTACTTATTCGAACTAAGAATAGTTGAGCGCGCTGTTTTACGAAAAACTCTTGGGTTTTTTTAAAATATATTTATACATCATAACAGCGAAACACTATGACACACGACCTTTGTAATTTTATCACTGCACGTCTGAAGTCGAACTGGACATTATCTTGTTACATGATGTCACTTTTATAAAATGTTATAATTATAACCATAAAGTTTTTCCGACCTAATGCGGCCATGCAAACTATTTTGATGTGACGTAATATGCGATATACAAATATGAAATAAAACACAGACTGTAAGCTTTACACTGTCAGTATTTCTTTAAGCGCATCAATGAAAAAGATGATTCCTCTGAATAAATTAAAGACGGCATGTGCAAAATATTTTTTAAAGCAGGTTTTGGCACATATGATTCCCAATTAAATTTAAAGAAAAAAACAGTCCTCATATTTTCTTTGTCGCAAGTCATAAGAAACGTACAGCAAACAAGAAAAAAAACGTGACATTCG